TGACAATTACTTAATTGTCATGAAAGTTTAAATAACATTAAAGGTATTACTTTAATTGAGATTAAGCTTATTATCTGATTATTAATTAAAAGGAGAAAAATTTTAAATTGTCTTGACAAACTAATCATACTGGTGATTTATAAATTATTATTATGAGATATTAATTTAATTGAGGTTAAATTGTGATGAATTTTCAAGATTAGGTGAAATTAACAGGAAGGTTAATGAGCTGAAAAATTCATTGAAAATTATTAGTTTCATACCAGAATTCTGGTTCCAACTAACTGAGAGTAGGAAAAAACTTTTTTCTGGCCAGAGGTGAGTTGATGAAGATGAGGATGAATATGAGGATGAGAATGAAGATGAAACTTTATTGATTACATATTGGAATCGTAATTGACTGAAGATGTTGATGAAAATCACAGAACTTTAGTTGATTCTATTTGTTTTTCTCTTTCTTATTTCGCTTCTTTTTTATTGTATTCGAATACAACTTTCTATCCCTCCAAGTGTCTGATATTTTCTTCCTTATTTCAACATTATTACTTTTTTTTCTCTTACTCTTTCATTTCTATTAGTTTCATCAATTCAGTGAGAGAGATGATGATATTTTTCATGATGATAATGATGATGATAACAATAACACTGAACGAGTCATTTGATCTAAGAAAAAGAATCGATTTCGTTGGTTAACCATAAAAAAATCGTCTCTCAACTCGTTCCAATAATGATGATTATTTTTTTTATTTCATTTAAACTTTTGATTCTGTTTGCAAGTGAAAAAATTAATTTCAACTTAATATATTGCAATTTATTGGATTGTTTCACTGAGCAAGAAAAAAGCTCCATGATAAAGTTGAGTTCCCAGAATTATCATCTTAATCATGAGACTCTCTCCATGTGTACAATATGAGCCAAAAGAAAAGCGATCAATGAGTTTATCTTTTTTTATTCCTTATCATCAAAACCCATTTTTTTGCCATGGAAAACAAGTCTCAGAATTTCATCTCCATCCCATTCACCACCCAACTCTCCCCTTTTTCATCATCATCCTCATCTCTCCCTCTTTCACTCTATTAGTAAACCCATAGATCACTTTGGTGTATCTTTATTCCTCCATCTTCTTCATCATCATGTTCAAGTACTCTTCTTATTTACACTGTTCCCAATTTCTTATTCAGTTCCTCAGTCTGAACTTTCCTCCTTCCACCCTGCTCTCTCTCTCTCTCTCTCTCTCTGAAATAAACAGTTTGTTGAAGCTTCAGTAGGATAAAGTATTCAGTAAATATCGATAGCAATTAAGCCTCATCCTTACGGTTAAATAATAACATCATTCAATGTGCAATAAGCAAGAAGATGAAATAACTTGATGTTACATGATGATGATGCAGGGAATGAACTCAGAATCTATTCAGAATACAGAATCTGAGTACAAAAAAAAGCACCAACCCTAACAAGTAAATATTTATTATGTTTACCTAAATATTATTTATATTATCTTGCTATTTATTAACCAAATTATCATATTAATTATGATGATGATCTACTTGAATTCATCTATTGAGTTGTATTCACGGAAATAATAATAATAAACATCATCATGATTAACTAACTAATAACTTAACTAAATGTGATCATCAATGTCTCTTCAATTGGTTAACTATCATTAAATTTTAACTAATCATCATCATTTTCAAGTTGTATCACAATTTAAATTAACCCATTAAATTACAATTGTATTCACTTTAATATCAAACTAAATTGCTAATAATAGTTGACAATTTAACTTTACCAAATTAAATCATTGACATAACAAGTTTCAGTTAATTAATTTTCAATTTGTTTTAATTGTATTTCCTTTTTAAGTTAGTCAGTTAATTTTCAATTTCTCGTTAATTGTAATCATTGATTTTGACAGTGATTAACAACCTAGTTAATCGTTTACATACCCAAATAGGAAATATCAAATTGCAAATGAATGTTTTCAACTAATCAATCAAATTGATTACGATAACAATTAAATCAACTTGTTTTCAATCAAAAATTTTACTTTAACTTTTGGTTAATCTCATCAACCAAACAATCAAGAGGACTGTAAACAATCAAAGAGGATTAATTATTGATCAACAAGCTAATTTACAATAACAATCATTTTTCACTGCTCATTAATCAACGTAATTAAGTGTTAATCATTTACTAAATTGTTAAGCCAAAAGTAATGACTCTCAAGCCTTGAGATTATCAGTTTAAATCCAAAGACGATAAGATTTTTTTTTTGAAAATTCGAATTTGAATTTATCAAATTCTCACCTGAAAGTTACCTTGACATCTCCGAATTTTTGTTGATCGAATGGTCACTTTTCCCATCTAATGGTCAGTTAGTTGTTTACACTCGGACTTGATTTGTATTTGCAAAAAAGATTGACCAATGTAAATGTTATTCAAATGGTATCTTGATGTACCAGGTAAAAAAAGAGATCCTGTCACCATGATGACAGTTAATTACAAGAAAATAATTTGTAACAATCATTTGATTACATGATGATGAGAATAATGAAATAAAACTGTTACTTCGTGTCCATCAAATTAGCCCAAAAGTTCAGTAGCATCTTCATCATTATCGTCATCATGGATTATCATAATAATGTTGACATTTTATGACCAAGATTAAGTGATTCCAATGGTCAGTTTAATGGTTTTCCAACATAAACTCACTCGTTTACTGGGTCATTATTTTTTTCTGCTTCTTTTCTTGTTGATCATCATAATACTTTCAATGTAAATTCACATAAACAAGTCAACGAACAGAAAAAAAAACGAAAAGAAAACATTGCAAATCCATTTGCATGTTTTTCTCAATGTTGATATACTTTTGCATTCTTTACACCTTTTCAATTGGGTGAATTATTAGTTCGTAACATTTACCTTAGCATTTCTTGCATATTCAATGTGTATTTCAATTCACCATGAAGTTTCAGCTTCTTTTCTGCAATAAGACTTGAGTTGCAAATGAATGGAACCAAAAATCAACACAAATCATCAAAATCTCTCAGTTCAACTCTTTTTTTTCATTACTTTTTTTTGTTTTCCTCTTCTCCAGCAAAAGGAAACAAAAAAGTTCTTAATATCTTTGAGTTTCTCCATCTTCTCTCCCATGACTGAAAAACTTTTCTCTTTATTAAATTCTGTCTCTCTTTCGGTTTCTCTTTCTTCTCAAACTTTTACCTACTTGACCCAATTGTTTCTGAATAAAAGGGAACCTCTTATATGCAGAAAGTGTATCTCTCCCTTTTATCCTTCTTACAGGGTAACCTTCACTTTCTTATTATTTATTTAGCCAATTTCAAGTTGATTTCAAGTTGAATTATTATTATTATTATGGTCATGACTATTAGCTTAATTTCAAGTGTGTTGGTCAGTTGCACTTTTGGTCAATTGTCAACAGTTGCAGATAATTGAATATCATTTGTCATTTAACTTTAATCAACAAAACAAAAGTATTAAACATTTCAACCCGCTGAAAATGCTCAAGTTATCAGAACTTATCTCAACTATCCCAATTGTTATTCAATTAAAATGTTTTGATTGATGTTTCATTTCATGATTTAGTCTCAATTCACTGATTGATTCAAATTTAAAGCTCGATTAATCTGAAAGGTAAATTGAGTTTCAGTAGTTTCCTCTCTCTCTCTCTCTTTCTTGATCCTCATTGATATCATGGTAATCATGCTGATATCGATATTTGATTTCACGAATAACTGATTATACTTTGAACGTGTTTTACTTTCATCATTTTCTTTTATCATGTTTCTTTCAGAGAACTGAAAAATTTGATTTATTTTGACATGAGGAAAGTAAATATTTGGTTCCGGTTATCATGGAAACATTCAAATTCTCAATTCTCAGAGCTTTCAGGATAAGAGACATGAAATACTGATAACATGGTAAAAGAAGATGAAAAAATTGAATCAATTTTGATTCTTTTGAGTGAAGAGAAAAAAAGATGATGTTGATTTTTTTCGCCTTCAGTTTCATGTTGACTTCATGATGATGATGAGCTGATTCTGGTTGAACCTCAATTTCTGAGGCAAAAAAACCTTTACAAGCTCCACCATGAATAAACAATTCATTCACACAAGTATCATGAGGAATAAGAGTAAGAAATAAAAGTTTCAGGTATCAAAGAAAAAGATTAAACCAGAAAAAAAGTTGCATCAAATTTTGTTCGGTTAACATCCTGAGAATCGCATACATCATCTTCATGATGATCATTATTAACATGATACATTGATAGCTGATTGTTGATGGAAAAGAGTGAGAGAGAAAAAGTGAAAAAAAGTTCTAACAGAACTTTTTTTTCGAAATAAATTGTTTTCCTCTTCGCAATCACCTTCACTTTCATCTGTCTCCTGAGAGAGAGAGAGAGAGAGAGAAACTGTTTCTGTTTTCACTTTACCTTTGATACTTTTATCCTCATCCTCATCCTCATCTTCATCTCTTTCTATTCAACTCATTTTGAAATTATCACTCCAATTCATGTACAGAACTTTTTCTCTCTCACTTTCTCCTTCTTCTCATGACTTTGCGTGTCAACCATATGTTACATAATTTCACCATGACAACCAAACAATATCATCCTCATCATTATCATGGTCTTTGTTGTTATCATCACTGAAACATATCTGTTGAAATAATGAACAAAAAAGGATGCGGAAGATAAGGAGAGGGAGAGAAAAAATTCACTCTAACAAATAAGTTACTGAAAACACACACACAAAAGATACTGATGGATGAGAGATGCGGATAAAAAGATGAACAGAAATATCAACATTCAGCTCATCAAATTAATTACTTTACATTTCAGGGTAATAATGATAATAGAGAGAAAATAATTTTCCATGTAACCAGTGAAGAATAAAATTAATAGATTGAGAGATAATAAAAGAAAAAAGAAAAAAATCTAATCTTCTCTTTCTTTTTTTTGTTCTTTTCTATTGTAGCATCATCATCATCAAACTCACATCATCATCAACAATATTTTCGTGTTCGACCTCGATCCAATGTCGAGGTTATCGAAGGCTCTTCAATATCGCTCCAATGCCAAGTAGGAAATCAAGCCGGTGCCGTCCAATGGGCCAAAGATGGTTTCGTATTGGGTAAGTGTCTTAATTGAATCTATTTCCACCCCCGTCAATTATCAGTAATCAAAGCAATTAGTTAATTGTTTCCAATCATAATGGTACCAAATTACCCGGATGTTATCATGTTCCCTTGTTGATGTTGGATTTTTTTTTTACTTCATCATTTACTTACATTGATTTTTTATCATTGTGAGTTTCAGGATTCATTGTTTAATCATCCTCATCATTTATCCTCCTCCTCCATATCCTCCTACATCATATATTGTGTCATTTTGATGATGAGGATGATCAGTGCGATACAATATCATCAAATTAAAGTCAAATTAATTGGGATAATTGTTAATCTTGTTTTAAGGTTCAATGAGTTTTAATAATACCGGTGACATTTTCTCTTGATTATTACAGTTACTTAATTACAGTTGATTCTTATTAGTGATACAATTCAATCAGATTGATTATTATATTTCCACCAGCAACCTTAGAGTTGGTTGATTACATCTTGATTAACAATCAATTTTTGATTGTGAAAATATGATTAGATTTTTTTTTCTCAATCTCTCTTATCCAAATTGTTATATTGTTGTGATAAAAGGTAAAACCTTCAACAATTAGATTTCAATTAGATTTGATTGTTAATTGGTTTTCACTTTGATAAATAATACAATTGTATAAGTCCAAGTAAAATCAACTTGACCTTAACCTGACATATTAAGATTATGATAAATCAACAACAATCAAATCTAATTGTTACATAAATAGTTAGATTAATATTATCATTTCTGGGTGGAGTGAAGTAATCAACTTGATCCAAATTGATTGACAATCTTGATTAACTTTTTAATTGTGACCATTACACTTGAAATGATTAAATAATTTTCTCTCTCTCTTCACAATTCAATTGATTTTCAAGCTTAATTGTAATTCTGATTAATTTAACCTTTCACTTTAATCACGAATCGTTGATTGTACTCAATTATTAACAATATATTACTTTTTATTATCATTTGTTTCAGTGAGAAATGAATGAAATTTATAAATTGTTAGGTATTAGTTAAATCAATTGAAAAATTGAGTTAATTAATCACAAGGAAAATCAGAGAGCGTTAATTATAATAAGCAATTGATAAATTCATCACTGAGCTTTTAAAGTTAATATTATCTTTCAATGTCATTTCCATTGATGTGAAAAGTGATGAGGATGCTAACAAAATTGTCCAGTAACTTGAATATCAGTTGAATAGGAACAAAAAACTCAACGATGATTTTATTTTTAGGCGAAATCATTAATCAAAATTAAAAGTTAAGTGATTGTCTCATGGCAAACATTTAAATTGCTCATAGGAAATCACGTTAATCATTTGAAAAAGTGAAACATGAGATGAAAAATAAATCAATGGTTAAAATTAATCACGTTAATTGGTGGATAATTTATTTTTATACATCTCCAACAATTAACTTTTTCCAACACAGTTAAGCAGTTAATCAAGTTCATTGTAACAATTTGAGCTTCACTTGATTTGTATTAATTGTGTAATCGTTATTGAAACTGTAATATTGATCATCTTTTTGTATTAAAATCATTGCTACTCAATTTTATTCAATTGTTGCATTTGCTGGTTGATTGTTTCATCTTGAAATTGTATTGATTATCATAATCAATTGGTGTATCGATTATCAACTTTCATTGTTGATTGATTAAATCATCTGATTGTATTCAGCTTGAGTTAACAATCACAAGGATAATCACTCAAAGTGTTGATATTTTGTCAACATTTTTTTTTGTCGTTTAAGATTAAAGTTTGTCTTTGAGATGATGATGATTAGAAATCAAGATTAATAATGAAAAAAAAAGATTCTCTCTCATCTCCTATGGATGAATAATGGAAGATGAAGTTATGAAGATGAGGATGGAATTCAATTTTGAGAGATAATCAGTTGCAAGATAATCACATTTTGTCAATATTATCATTGCTTAGAATTCATGGAATCAGAAAGAATAAGGAATTAATAATAATAACAGAGAATAGTTCTGAGAGTCTCATGATTGTTCATCAAGTTGAATTTTCTATTGATGACAGATCATCTTTTCTTTCACCTTTTTATATTTCCATTTTTTCTTCTTTTTCTCAACAACATGATAGATAAAAATAACTTTCACCCTGAAAAGAATGAGAAAGAAATTGTATCACTTTCATCAATCGTAACAAGGAATCCAATTCAATATTCAAAAGGGAAAAATAAAAACTCAACTCCAATGTTTATCCTTCCTATTTTCACCATAAAGGTTATATAACATTCATGATGATTCCTTAAGAAAATCATCTCAATATCATCAATTTGTATCAAAACACTGAGATTGTTTTCACTTCTCTTCCTCCCATTTACCATCATCATCATCACAATCATTTGTTTTCAACTTATATTCAACTCTCAACTTCATCCCACCCACTCCGCCTTCATCACCTCCTCTTCCCACCACAAAATTAAAACAACAACGAGAGAGAGATACAAAAAAGAGTATCATTAGGATAGAGGAAAAAAGAAACATTATCTTCCCTTTGTCTTCATCTTTCTCACTTCATCTTCTTGCCTCATTACACAAGAAATAAAATCCTTTACCTATCACGATGATAACTAAGAGTAAAAACAAAGACAAGATAAAAAGAAGATGACAATTCAATTCATCTTATCATTAGTTATATTTATAAACAATCAGAAACTGATGATAACCCTTAAAGTATAAGTATATAAAGATCCAGGGGAGAAACAGTTAGAGAGAAATGAAAAAGTTCCAAGTTATCCTGATCTTGGAACTTTTTTTCATCACCAAGTAACAATAATAATCATTTTAATTTGGTGATTTTTTCTCCATCTCCTTCACCTGATCATCCTCAACCGGTATCTACTTACATAAATATATTTTTTTCCAATTCTCTCTCAATGATGAGGATAATCATTGTAATACTTATTTGACTAGCAACTAATTGAACAACTATATCATCATGATGAGCATCAACTCTCTCAATGTAATTAAATATACAAGTTGTTCTATTTATTTAATGTTAATTCAAAGTACAAATAGAAGACAAAGTTCTAGTTAATTATCTTTACATCTTAATAATCATCACACATACAAGATGATAGACCCACTCTTCAATATCCACTCTACATAATTCCCCTCTCTCTCTCTCTCTCTCTGATTAAAATGCTTATTAAAAGATGAAAACTGTTATCCAAACATGATAATGTTTATCGATCAACTTTATTCATATTCTTGATTCACTTTCCATCATGATGATGAATCTGATTCTCCCATTGATAACTAGAAAGTTCATTGATTCAGTTACTATTATCACCATCATTATGCATGTGAATGATAAGATAAAATAACCTGAGGCATTTTCCTTTCCCTTGTAAATAATAATAATAATAATAAGTCTTTAGAAGAAGAAGAAAAAAAAAGTTTTCTATGTTTAATTTAATTCCATTAATGAGTAAATACTATGAATTAACTTTAATTGTTATTCGGATGGAGAAGGAAAAAAATTACTATTGACATTTTCACCCAACAAGCAAATTAACCAACACCAATGCTGGAGATTAATTTTATCACTTTAATTGTTGGAAATATAGTTAACCAGCTAATTGTTGATCCAATTCAGGAAGATATAATCAGTTTTGATTATCGGCGCGATTATCATGTTGTGGTTTCTGTTCATGTTTTCATGTGACGATTTTTTTATAATGTTATTGCAAATAGATTGTTACTTTTTTCAATATAAAAAAGTCTCTGATATTTGTATGGATGAGGATGAGGATGAAATGTGATATTGGATAAAGGGATAAATATCAAACTGCTTCTGGTCAAGAAGCAATAAAGATGAAATAAGGTCTCAATAAAATTACTGTTAGTAAATATCTTATATAAGTTAATGGTCAATTCACATGGGAAAATGTCCACTTGGCTTTTTATAACTTTAACCATGATAATGGTGATTTCGTTATTTAAACAGTTAACACAGAGAATCAGAATCATGAGAGATGAGAAGGTGAAAAGAGAAAATCGAAAAGATAAACTTGGAAAGTTGAGTTTTCTTAATAAAGGAAAAGTTTCAAGAGAAAAGTGTTATAAGAGATTGAGGTTAGTTACCATGGAAAATTGGAGCTTTAATAATAAGAGTGAATCAGTTATTAGTGAGAGAGAGAGAGAGAGAGAGAGAGAGAGAGAGAGGATAAGGTCAGTTGTGGGTGGACAAGGGATAGAAAGTGAGGAGGCTTGATTATTATCATGAGTGTGAGATTATAAGGTGAAGATAAGATTGACCCCTTTAAGTTGATAGGGATTGATGAAATTGTTCAGGTTGATTGGAGATACGATAAGTTATTGTAACATTTAATCTTAGGAATATGTTGATGAAAATCAATGAATCCTACGTTAGATTATCATCATCATTGTTATTATTTAGTGGGTGGTTATGATAGAGAGAGAGAGAAGATGAAAGATGATAAGTGATGAAGATAAAGTTAATCAAATGATTGAAGGTTTAAGTCAAAGCGATTTGCTTACTTTTGGTTTTATTGTGTGAAAATGGGAAACTTTATCTCCATCATCAGAATCCATTCATAGGAAAACTATTTGTTTTATAATATGATTACAATTCCTAATTCAAGATTCAGATTTCCCTGAATAAACATTCACAATCCCATGTGCAAAGTAACCACTTGCATTTGATACCAGAAGTACCAACACCATTGTATCAATAATCTCATCAATCTGTCCACCATTGGTCACCCAACTTTTAGCTTTTTTCTCCTCGTTACTTCCGATTTCCGGTTAGAACTTTTCTCCCTCTTTCTTCTATTGTTTATCAAGCATCTGTCTTTATTTCCGTATCCGGTTCCATGTGTGATTCAGATTGTTTAAGAAAAACAATGTTTTCTTATTGTGAAATTCATCGATAAGATAAGACAAAGATAAAATCTCTCCTCGAATTTACATCTTTATCTCTTTACAT